CCCCCCCCCCCCACCTGATTTAACATACACGGATCTGGTCTGCCACATGCAATCAGCTTAAATTTGGAGAAAAATTTAAATTCTGTAATTTAGAAAAACAAACCATGTGTAACAATTTAAGACCAATAGTAAACATTTAGGGTTTCTGCAAAAAAATTTATTAAGAATCTTTATTTTTAAAGAAATAGTAACTCAGAGCATTTGAATCTCATGGAATAAGAATCTGATATTGAAAAGAAATTACAAAAGTGACATATTTGAGCTTCATTTTAAACTACAGTGCAAAAATAAATGAGTATATATAATGCTAAACTGTTACTAGCAGAACAGCTAATGAAAATGTTTAACAATAGATATGAAATGGGCTATCCTTTTACATTCTGTGTTTATTAACCAGCTACCTGTAAAATAGCTAGCAAAGATGTTATGATTAGGAAAGACAGAAAAAGAGAGTGTGTATAATACTTTAAAAAATTTGTACTCTGCTCTTTTGCTCTGTAATCATGAGGTTGTACATGTCAAACTATGTTTAAACCTATGGTTAAAATGTGAATCTCATAGAAATAATGCAAGGAATGTTTATTTTCTCAACTCATTTCAATGTTTCCTAATAAGTAGGAAAGCAACAAAACAGTCACTTCTGGAAGGAGTCCTCATAACAACCTGGGACAGATATATTAAATGTGTTCAGAGTGGTTTTCAGCAGTAGAGACTTTGTAGAGAGCTTTTTATTTCATCCATATTCTAGAAAATTAGTAAAGAGGCAATTTACATTTCCAGATACTAGAAACTAATGTATTGAAACAAAAATAATTCCATTTCTTCATTTAATTTAAAATGAATGCATTTCATTCCAGAAGGGCCTACATGTCACTAATATAGTAGTTTATTTAACAATGTTTGCAGATCTCTTAGAGGTCTGAAGATGGAAAGAATTGCACTTAGGCAAGTTCAACAGAAATAGTAAGATATAGCACACATGATCTTCAGAATTTCTCTCTGGAGGTAGTGATTCCTAGATTTTGAAGATAACTCTGAAGTCAGTAGAAAAAAAGATTTGAAGTGCTTTTTTTTTTTCATTCTTCTTTTTTAGTTTACATGTGCAGTTTTATGCTTATGATGCAGTTACTAGGATTGTAAAATCCTTTAACTTTAAATCTGGCTTGTCTAAAGGACTTTAAAGGACTTTGTTTTTTAGAGAAATATGTATTTTATTTGGAAGCTTTGATATTAATATCAGTGCTTTAACAATATGGGAATCTTTCTTCATCTGGGAATCTCTCAGCAATGTCTATAGCATTACTTTGAAATTACTTCTCATGTCTTTTCTAGAATTGCCAATGCCACCCCTATCCCAGGAGACTTGCTGCGAGAGAATACAGATGAGGTGTTTCCTGATGAGCAGCTTAGCGATGGAGAGAATGGTATCCCTGGTGGAGTTTCACCTGAAAAGCTACCTGGCTCACCTGGACATCAACGTCTTCAGGAAAAAGATGTCTGGGAGGAGATGGATGCCAACAGAAACAAGATAAAGCTGGGCATCTGTAAGGTATTTACAGACAGGCAGAGGAAGGGAAAAAAACTTTTTTCAATAATTTCCTGCCATCACAAGGAACAAAATATGGTGTGATGAATAATAAGCAACTACTAATAATTTGGCTCTTGAAATACTGTGCTTTTTACCCAGAGAGAAGTACGTGGATCAGTGGGGCAATATTCTTTTTCACTTACGAAGACCACAATTCATATCAAGTTCAAACATGGTTTTGCTCCCTGTTCATTCCAAAAATGTTTTTTACACTTATTCTTGATAGTAATTAAGGGTGGAGCTGAAGGAAGAGGCCTTTAATTTATTTTTATATGCCAGACCGATGTGATACAGTAGAAGCTGTGGTAACCCACATTCTACTAGCGGGAATACTCTATGAACTGGAATTTCTGGCTGGCTGGAGGGGGGCGGGATTTGGATGTGGTGGCTGCCACTGCCACCCACCACCCTGCACTGCTGCCGCTCCTTGTGCAGTCACTCCCCCTCCCCCCGCCCAGCTCCGCCAGGGTTTTCAAAAAGGTTAAAAACCCCTGCCTCAGGTAACTGGAATTTTTAGGTACCCAGCACCTACCCTGTTCCCCACTCATGCTGGTTAACTGTATTTTACTGTATTTATTTCTCCAGGTAATTTATGTTCCTTTTTAGAGGGAAAGATGAAAGACAGGTGGACTTTTTCTGGGCAAAATCCAGTTTTGCTGATGTAACTGGGAATTGCACCTGTTTAATTTAGGGACTGATTTTGTTCTTCAGTGCTAAATAATGTCCATTGATATACAGTGTTATATGTGTTTGGACACTAATATTAATTTTTAATAGACACTGTAGAATATCTGAAAGCTAGTTTGTAGACTTAGGGTGCAGTGGTGTTGCAGAAAAACATATAGATGAGTTAACATGAAAAGTAGCATTTCTGCAATAAAGCCAAAAGAGGTCATGTCAACAAAGTGGCATGAAGAAGCTTCTGAGTTAAGCCTGTTATTGAGGAGAATTCCCCAGATGGATGCCAGGGATCAGTATAGATCTAAGATAGGAGAGTTATTGGTTTCTTTTGACTCTTTCCAGTCTCAGATGGAATTTGGTATTGCTGGCACTTGATCTCCAATTTAAATGTAGTGCCTTAGGAAACTGGTAACTAAAATGCACATATAGGGCATATCTACATGTGCAGTTAGTGTGGCTGAATAAACTCCATAGCGGTTCGTGCTGGAGTTTATTGCTCTTGGGCATAATATTTACACTACCTGGGCAGTCAGCCCCCCTGCACTGTAGTACCCTTATGCCCCAGCCAGCCCTGGTCACTGTCTACACGTACATTATGGCACACTAAACTTTGCCATAGGCTGGTACTTGTACTGGGCAGTACTATCCTACAGTGGAGTAAATTAGTTTACTGTGGCCTAATAGCACCATATGTGTAGACGGTGACACTTTACTGTGAAGCTAATTAGTCAACTCCATAGTAAACCGCATGTGTATGCAGATGCCCCCATACACTGCATAATATATGGGGGTGAGTATTTGTAGAAAGAGTGTCTTGTCTATTAATTGGTTTGTTGCAGGATAAAAGGATGTGTGACCGCTGCATTTACTAATATGTTTTTCCTGTCTTATGGCACTGTTAATGTGCTATATTTTTATTTCTGTTCTATTTTACTTGCACAGGTTGCTACCGAGGAGGAAAATAGCCATGGGCCAGTGAATGGAATTCTTAATGCACCAAGCCTTGGTTCTCCAATTCGAGTCCGTTCAGAGACGATGCAACTAGATAGGGATGTCCCATTGGTACGAAAGTTACGTTCAATCCACAGCTTTGAACTGGAGAAGCGCCTGACCTTGGAGTCAAAGCCAGATACTGATAAATTTCTTGAGACCTGGTAAAGAGACTCTTTGTATCTCATTTCAATCTATGGTCTTTTAGGAGTTTGTTGGTTAAGACTGTTTTGTATCCTGGATAATACCCAGTGAAAACCAGAAACAGAGTTACTGAGTTATGCTTACGCCAGCTATGACTAGCAAAGTCAGTTCTATGTATTGTATTTTCTCAAATTAATGCCCATTATCATTTAGACATTTTGTATTTTTAGATATACTTTCTTGGTAAATTTTTAATATATTTTTTAATTTATACTGAGATAGTATTGGTGATGTTTTATAAAGGTAGATTCTTGGTCTGGAGAAATTTTAAGTTAAAGGTACAATTTTATAATATTTATGTTGAGTTGTGCTTCATGAGTGGTCCTGTTGACTTCAGCAGGGACTATTCATTGGAGTCAGTGCAACTCGACATGAATATTTATTACAGAATTGGATGATAAATCATGTGACAAAAGCAGTTCACTTCATCGTATGTAATGTGCTCTTATAAGAGCAGTAGGATTTATATAAAGTAAAGTTGTGAAATCACCTAGTTCTGCCTCAGAACACCTGAGGTGTGTCTGTGGCTCAGATGCTTGTGGAAGGAGCTGGGGAGCCAGAGGTTGTGAGTTTAAACCAGGGTGTGGGCCCCTGACCTCTTTCAAGTTGCAACCAAGGAAGTTTAGGTTTGATATTAGGAAAAACTTTCTCACTTAGAAGGGTAGTAAAACACTGGAACAGGTTACCCAGAGAGGTTGTGGAGTCTCCATCCTTGAAGGTTTTTAAGACCTGTGTAAACAAAGCCTTGGAATGATCTAGTTGGGGATGGTCCTGTTTTGAGCAGAGGGTTGGATTAGGTTAGTGGTTCTCAACCTTTTTTGTACCGGGACCCATTTGTAAACAGTCCCGGCCCACAGCCCCCTGGCCCTGTTGGTGCCTCTCACACCTCACCCACAGCCCCCTGGTCTTGCCAGTGCCCGTCACTCCCCACCCTCAGCCTCCTGGCCATGCTAGTGCCCCTCACTCCCCCCCCCCCCTCCTCGGCCATGCTGGTCCCCACCCCTGCCATGCCAGAGGGGGCTCCCAGCTACCCCCATCCCACTCAGGCTAGAGCTTGGTGGCTGCAGCAGCTCCAGCTCATGCAGGCAGCAGCAGAGCAAGTCCAGCCCCAGTATGGGCTGGAGGGAGGAGGAGGGGAGGCCTATGGCACCTCTCCCCCCCTGCTCTGGGCTGGGGTTCCCATGCCGTGCCCAGCAGCCTGGTCATGGACCCACCTGTTCCATGAGCAACAGCTCTCAGCTGCCTCATCCCAGCAAGTATTGGGTACTGAACTCAGTGCCGCTGACCCAGCCACGCAGCTTCCTGCCACCGCCCCCTCTACCCCCATGCCTGCAAGGGGAAACCCATGCTTTGCCTCATTTTTCTGAATGTTCTTGCAACCCACGGGTCGAGAAATACTGCTAGACCTCCTGAGGTCGCTTCCAACCCTAATTTACTATGATTCTAAGCCTGCATTAGCATTGAAAAACTAGCTAGAGATGTGGGTTTTGAGGAGTAATCAGAAGATGGACAGAGGAGGCTGTTTGAGTACAGGATCAGGAATTTTTTTTTCCAAGTATAGAAAGAATTATAGGTGAAGGACACAGGGAAGCTAAAGGGAAGGCCTCAAGAACCTGACTGGGGAAGCAGGAGAAGAAAGGGGTTGAGATGGAGACATGGGCAAAGCACAGCAGATCCTAGAGTCTGAGGACAAGGTTTCTGAAGATACAGGAGGTATCCAAGGTGCCAAGCACAGGTGACTAGCAAAAGATGCAATCACAGCAGATGGGGGAGAGTTTTGTATAGACTAGAGGGATTTAAAGAGCTACTCACCTAATATTTGAAACTGAAACATGAAATTGCATGTGGTATTAAGTTAAGGATGGAGAAAGACCTCAAATGGAAGTAATGTTCTCTCTTTCATTAATCCCCCCCTATCTCACATGGGAGAAATTTGCATTCCTGATCAACAAAACTCATTAGTGTTCTTCATTAACCCATCTGACAAAACAAGAGAATGTGAGATGCTGTGGAAAGATGTTCTGTGTCCCAACAGCAAAATAGCAGCAAATAGGCAAAAGGGTATATTTAGGTTGGTTCATTATATAACAGCCACCAAGGTGTAAACAAAAAAATGTGATGTGCTAAACATCAGTATCATCCAGCAGCCTCCTGTTTCTCTTTTCTTGTTTGTTACCAAAAGGCAATTGCTGAATCCATCTTCAAATGTTTTAGCATTAACCTCAGGCTGAAATTTTAAGCTGGCTGCTTGTTTTCAGTTTTCCCTTGATTTATCATGTTTCTTCCTCTTTCCCCTTATTTTCAGTGTGATTGCTACTGTGCCCTTGTTTAGCAAGAGATGCATTTTATATGCAAAACATTTGCAAATGCTGTTGAATGCATTTCTGTAAGTGCTGCTTGAGATTTCTGATTCTTTTGCTCACCTTTGAGTTTAAGACACAATATCACACTCACTGCACTGGCCAGCTAATGATACCCTGACCATCTCAGTAATGATACCCTGTGCTCTTCTCTCTCTTGAGAAAATAGTTTAATTAAATATGCATACATGCATGCATACATACCCAGTTTAATTAAATCTACTTAATTCATATAGGAATCGCTGTGGTCTTTCTTCCACCTTCATCTGATGTTGGAATATTTTTGGGTAACTAGGAAGGAAAAATTGGAGTAAAAGAAATAATTACTCCCTTCTTCTGGTTGTATTTGTTCCTGAATTTCTTTGGCTTGGGACAGGGAACTCTGTATTGTCTGGCTTGGGGGTGGCCAACCCATAGCATACATATGAGAAGTGTCATGGATAACCTCTCTGTTTGATGCATAGCAAATTGGGGATGGAGCAGGGAATACAGTGGCAGAGAGTAGAAAGCAGAGCAGCAGATCAGGTGGGGTAAGGTGATTGTAATGGAACTCAGGAGAAAGGCAGGATTTGCTTTGTAGCACACCTGCCAAAAAAGGTTGGCTCCCCACTGGGTTAGCTCATTCCTTCATGATCATCATAGCTGTGCCACTTATTAATGCTTGCAAAGTTAATCCCTGCAGGATACTGAGTTTGTTTTTCATCCCATATCTTGAAGGCCTGAGCTCTTATAGACTAATTCTGAAAGGTCTGAGCTCTTAAAGGCTAATTTTAAAGTATTGTAGGAGGCTCAACTTAGCATAGCTCCAGTGGCTAAGTTCAAATAATGTTACTTAGGCCCCTGCTGCACGTTGCATATATTATGCAATTAACGGGTTAATTGCCGAATACATTTAACAGGCCACACGTACAAATAATGATCATACAATTAACTGCTTAATCGCACAATGTAGATCAGCCACATGTGCAAAGTAATTATCACATGATAAAAATGACTATCCAGCTCTTAGAAGAGCCAGCCAGCTATAAAGTTGGTGTTTGAAAATGTGTAACAATTCTATATTTGGTTTCTTTAATTTGAAAGTGTAGCAGAGCCCTTATATAATGCTGTTCTTTCTTAATTCATATGTAACTTTTTTTCTAAGCTTGGAGAAGATGCAGAGAGACTCAAATGTTGGGAAAGAACCTGCTGTTGCTGCTCCTTCTCCTCTTCCTCAGAAAATGCATGTTCCTGCTGTGACTGTCCGTACTGACCACATCTGGCATTATGATGAAGAATACCTCCCTGATGCTTCTAAGCCTGCCTCAGCCAGTTCTCCAGAACAGGTCGATGGTGTTGTTAGCAATGGATTTGTAGCTGTCAATCTGAGCTCCTGCCGGCAGGAGGTTGATTCCAAGGAGTGGGTGATAGTAGATAAGGAACGGGACCTGCAGGATTTCAGGACCAGTGGGGCTTTAGTGCATAAAACAACTGAAAGTCCCTCAGATGAAGAGCCTGAGGTGCTACAGGTCCTAGAGGAGTCCCCCCAAGAGGAGTATGTCAGACAAGGTACTTGGGCAGGAAACAACATCCATACCAAGAATGAACCCTTGGGAGTAGAGCTTGGCCTAGCTGTTGAGTGTCATGCCATTGCTGCTTCTGAACAGCTTACAGATAAACTAGAACTTCTGTGTGGAGCTGGTGGTCAGTTTCTTGCAGCCACACCTACGAGTCCAATGGAGGCTCAGGCAGAAGGAGCACTCACTCCGGTAAGAGAACTATTTATTATTGTACTTTTTGTTGTGCTTTTGTTCCCTGTGCAGAACAATTTGAAAAGGCAATAAAGGAGAAAACAGCCTCAAGTGTATGCAGGGTCCCTGGAATTCTTAAATAATGGGATATGGAACTTGATTTTGCAGGAAAATTTTCTCAGGCCCTGCTGTCTGAATCCACATTCTGCAGTGGATTTAGATATTGGTTTAGTGTACAACCCTCAGAATTGAGCTTTAATTTAAGGTATACATTAACAAATACCTTTTGACATGAATGATTAACCAATTAAGTTATACTATTATGCTGAGAGTGCATAAGCAGAAGGTATTAACAAATATATAAAACAGTAGTTCTCAGCTGAGGTGCCATGACATCCTGGGGTGCCCTGAACCCCCCCCTCAGGAGCGTTATCAATCATGCACATGCTGCTACTGTGATGGCAGCCAAGTCAAACTCGCCCACACACACTCTTGCTGCATTAGGGCTTTGATCAGCCAAAACCAGGCAGAAACTGGCTTGGCTGTAGAACTTCTGGGTCCATCCCCTGATAAGCTCCTCCCAGAAACAGAGGCACATGGGACAGTTCTGCCCACTTGCTTCTGTTTCCAGGAGCAGTGGCAGGGGTGGGAGTTGGGGGTGGCTGACCGGCAAGGGCTTCATTGCACAAGGCAGCTCATGTCTGCATTAGGCTGATCACAGCCCTAATGAAGCAGGAGCATGACCATGTGGCACAGCCCTTTCTGGGCTGGTTGTACAGCACACGTGCAGTTTTATCTGGAAGTAGTAACACCTAGTCGAGAAGCATGGAGGTAACTTGAGGCAATGCCAACGGTGGTTCTCAACCAGGAGTGCTGTCATGAAAAAAGTGGTGGAGGGATGTCATGACTCTAAAAAGATCAAGGACTATTGTATAAAATATGATACAATGGTATCATAACCCGAACTATACATATGCTGTGATTGGCTCCACATTAGCTGTTGCCACATAGGAAAGAGATCTGGGAGTCTTTGTGGACAGCTTGCTAAAAAACATCAGCTCAGTGCTCAGCAGCCATCAAAAAACCCCTCAAACAAAATGTTAGGCGTTATTAAGAAGGGAATTGTAAACAAAATGTGATGCAGGAGACAGGGCAAAATGGACCTACAGTGAACCAGTAAATGTATGCCATGTAAGTTTGAAAAGATCCCAAATGGCAGAAGCTAATATGGTAGCAGAGAAACAAGTTTCCTTGTTCTCATTGTCCCCTAATAAAATTATTTTCTCTTGATTTCATTTTGCTTCTTCCTTGCCCACTGATACGTTCTTTCAGAAATGCCTGTGTTTCTAAAACCTCTGCTTCCTTTGTGCTAGAAACAACTCCTTCTATCTCCTCTGCTACTTCCCACTTCTGAAATGGCTCAGTAACTGCTTTTTTGTTCCTGTAGCTGCCCCTCTTTCCTGGATGGACTCCCAATAGCTGCTGCTTCTCCTTTTGGCATGCTTCTTTATTAAGTCTAATACATTCCTCATTTGCACAGATTCCAGAAGTTTTTCTCCCACCTTCACCTGCCTCTGCTTCTGAACAGAACTCCCTTGGATTTACTTCTTCTCAGTTATCCCCTTCCACACTTGAGAGGAAGTGTGATTTAATGGTTTAGGAAGACATAGTTTCATAGTTTCTAGGGTTGGAAGGGACCTGAGCAGATCATCTAGTCCGACCCCCTGCCATGGCAGGAAAGAGTACTGGGGTCAAAC